CATGGAGCTGTGCGTGTGCGTGTGTCCGTATCCATGTTACTCACCTCAGTCCCGATCCTCACAGCGCCGGGTGTGGTTTAAAACCCTAACAAAATGCGATTTACAATCATGTCGAAGACCTTAAATGGTGTAAAAACACAGAACGTTCATCCATTTGTTTATCCTTTGCTCTGACACAAGCACAAACGGCGCCGTGTTTTGGTAAACGTCCGTTTTATGATCGCGGCTCCTTCAGCATCTCTGCAGATTCGTGACGTGGGTCTCTCCGCTGCATGCGCGCTCGTTCGCGACGCTATCGCCCTTCGCAACAGCAAGCGCGCGAACTAGCATTCCACTCTGCGCGGCCACGTAAATTCTCCGAGCGCGTTCTCGAGAGCTGCTTGGACCATAGACTGTGTTGGACTTGTGTGCTATGTGCCCTCTTCTGTTTGAAACCAGGACAGCAAGATTTTGTTTATCACTCAGTTTCTAAACTTCATTGGTCTCTTCTGTGATTCAGTTTCTCACACTTGTTATTAAATGATTTATGAAATTGTACAGATATGTGCAGTGTACACTGATAAAGCTATTCATATTTAGATACGTGCAATAATAGACCTATTAACCTAAAATATAATTGTTAACATTGTTAATTCATCTGCTATTGCACTTGATATTTGAAAAAATGTTTAAAAAATAAAACTGTTACCATTAACTTACATAGTTTTTTTTTTTTTTTTTGAACAACAGCAAAAAAAAAAAAAATCATGAAAGTCTGGAAACTTGTGTCCATTGACTAACATAGTATTTGTTATTTTCTACTATGTATGTCAACAATTACCAGTTTCTAACATACTTCAAAATATCTTTTTTTTTTTTTTTTGGTGAACAACAACAACAGCAAAAGAAAATCATAAAGGTTTAGAACCCCTTAAATATGAGTAAATAGTGAGTAAATTTTTACTTTTGAATAGACCCTTTAATCTTTTTCTTCCCCCAGATAAATGGTCCCTGTCGATGATAAAGTTTCAAAGTACTTTATTGAATATGTAACCATCAGCATCAATCAGCATAATCAGTATCAAGAACTCTTAATCTGTTTTGTAAATAGTAGGCCTATATTTATTGGAAAGTTTAAAATAAATATTATATAGAATATTCCACTTGCTCTAGTGATATTTACCTAAAAGTAAATACTCAGTCATCGTATACAGTGCATCCTGAAAGTATTCATAGCGCTTCAATTTTTCCAATTTTTTTTAATGTGACAGCCTTATTCCAAAATTGATTAAATTCATTTATTTCCTATATTCTACACCCAATACCCCATATAATGACAATGTGAAAAAATATTATTTGAAATTGTTGCAAATTGATTTAAAATAAAAAACCTGAAAAATCACATGTACATGAATATTTACAGCCTTTCTCGTGAAGCTCTAAATTGAGCTCAGGTACATTCTGTTTCCACTGATCAATCTTGAGATGTTTCAACAGCTTAACTGGAGTTCACCTGTGGTCAAATCAGTTGATTGGACATGATTCGAAAAGGTATACACCTGTCTATATAAGGTCCCAGGGTTGACAGTGCATGTCAAAGCACAAACCAAGCATGAAGTCAAAGGAATTGTCTGTGGACCTCTGAGACAGGATTGTCTCAAGGCACAAGGCTGGGCAAGGTTACAGAAACATTTCTGCTGCTCTGAAAGTTTCAATGAGCACTGTGACCTCCATCATCTGTAAATGGAAGATGTTTGGAACCACCAGGACTCTTCCTAGAGCTGGCCGGCCATCTAAGCTGAGTGATGGGGGGAGAAGGGCCTTAGTCAGGGAGGTGATCGATAACCCAGTGGTCACTCTGTCTGAGCTCCAGCGTTTTTCAGTGGAGAGAGTTTTTCAGTGGCCGGACGGAAAATAGTCCCAGCCTGGAATTTGCCAAAAGGCATCTAAAGGACTCTCAGACCATAAGAAACAAAATTCTCTGGTCTGATGAGACTAAATTTGAACTCTTTGGAGTGATTGCCAGGCGTAACGTTTGGAGAAAACCAGGCACCGCTCATCACTAGGCTAATACCATCCCTACAGCGAAGCATGGTGGTGGCAGCATCATGCTGTGAGTTTTTTTAACAGGAGGAACTGGAAAACTAGTCAGGATAGAGGGAAAGATGAATGCAGCAATGTACAGAGACATCCTAAATGAAAACATTTTGGGCGACCAGCCTGATCTCACGAGGAATCGTAAGTATTTTAAGTTTTGTCAGTTTAGTGGCTATTCGTATGAATTTGTATTCATATATTTAAGTTCATTCGCACGAAAATGTACGATTTTAAAAAGGAGGCGTGGCACCTAACCCCACCCCTAAACCCAACTGTCATTGGGGGATAAGTAAATCGTACTAAATTGTACAAATTAGATCATATGACTTCATACAAATTAGCCACTAAATCAAAAAGTTGCAAATTGCCTTGAGGTTGTGTTGGAGCAACGGTTCATCTTCCAGCAGGAAATCTATCTATCTATCTATCTATCTATCTATCTATCTATCTATCTATCTATCTATCTATCTATCTATCTATCTATCTATCTATCTATCTATCTATCTATCTATCTATCTATCTATCTATCTATCTATCTATCTATCTATCTATAAATTTGAAACAATTTGAAAAAAATCTTTTTTCACATTGTCATTATGGGGTTTCGTGTGTAGAATTTTGAGAAAATAAATTAATTTAATCCTTTTTGGAATAAGGCTGTAACTTAAAACAAATGTGGAAAAAGTAAAGCGCTATAAATACTTTCCGAATGCACCAAACATGCACCAAACCTGTTTGTTTTGAGGGGGAAATGAGTATTGATTCCCAAGGTGCAGTATTTATGAAAATACATTGGGGGGTATGGGTTACCTGTTTGATTAAATGTATTTATTATTATTTTAAAATCTAAATATTAATGTGTTGTCAGATATATAGTCCGTTTAAGGTTCCAACTTTTTATTATGCATCATTTTATATCTACTGGGGGCCCAAAATCGGCTTTGTGTCTATGTCACAAAAAAGACAAATTATTGGTGATGTGTGAAACTAAAAGTAGAGGCAGATTCACTAGATGGTGTGTCCTAACTACTATTTTCATTCTGTAGTCTGATAGACTTTAATAAAACTTCATTTCTGAAATAGACACAACTTATTACACTAAACGATAAATGGCATTGTTTGAGGCTCGTAATAAAGTATATCACTGATTACATTTTACTGACACCATTACATGATGGTTTAACAGAGCTGGACAATGACACTACCATTTTATACAGAGATGCAGTATTGATGAAATAAGTCAAAATTGATAGCTGACATTTTCTTTTGGAGTTGAATTGAATCAGCTTATGCTTAAAGCAGTCTGTACTGTAAAAAGCCCTATGAAAATAAAGGTGATTTCTCTTACACTGTGGAAATACTACTATGAGAAACAGGATATTTGTAGGCTGTAAATATAATGAAGCCTGCGTTCATGTGACTAAGTTACTGAGCATAAAGTAACTTGAAGTCAGGGGCGGATTTAACCAACAAGCAAGGTAAGCGGCCGCTTAGGCCCCCCAAAATAACTAGAAGTATAAATTATAAATATAAACTATATGTAACATTGTTTTCTACCATATTTTGTATGGTGAGAGTTACAAATACAGTTTTAACATAATTATTATTTAATATACAATTGAATACAATTTTATTATAATAAAAGTTATGTAATAATAATATTATAAAAAAATTATCTATCACAGAGAAGTCCGGCAGTATAATTTATGAAAAAGTATATTTATTATTTCAGTTGTAAATTAATTTTAAGAAAACTAATCAATTAGAAATGTAGTGATTACATTAATTTAAAATGTCGAAAAGAAGATTGAGTGATATATATATATATATATACATATAACAGCAACATAAATAAAAAATTATTAAAGTAGAAAGGGTTCATTTTAGGACTTGGGCCCTATATGGCTGAAATTGAGGGCCCCAAAATCACTAAATCCTCCCCTGCTTGAAGTAATACATGAAGTAATAACATCCATAGACCTTTTGGCCCTCAGCAATTAACGACAAACAAACCTTTTTTTTAGCATTTAACACATTTTACATCACAATGTTGGGGTGACACAGTTAATAAAAATAATAACTAAACATTACTAAATAGTTTAGAGATGGATTACTGACGAAACATGTTGTTTGAGCCTTTTGAAGCTAGTTTTATTAGCAGTGAGAGTTTTTGCACACTCCTGATACCTTTTTAATACAGTTAAATTAAATAAAAATAAAGTTAAGATGTTTTAATTTTCATTTTTGTGTGGGATATATTTATCTTATATTTATCCTTGTCACTAAATAGGACAACAATTAAATTTAAGCAACTGTCAAATCACAGACAAGCCGCTCGATGGCAGCATGGCATTTCAAATTAAAATGTCACAAGGATCAAACACCACAGACACTAAACAAAACAGAATGCCATTTTGCTGAACGACCGGTGATAAAATAGGCGGAACTTAACAGCACAGGCTTTTCTGGAATTGGTAGAGGTCTTTTTATAATATAACAGATTTTTATATTTATATCATGCGTGTTTTAAAATCTAATAATTGTTCTAAGCAAAATTATTGTCGAGGTTAGTGAAACACCATATAGCCTATCAACAGCGCTGTAATCTGTTACTTTTCTCGACGCTTCTCAAAATGGACCAATCAAATGCGTTTGTGATTAATTTACAAAAAATGTTAAACTATTTTTTAAAACAAATTTATTAGCTATGCTCCTATCTGTATGCCAGATATCAGTCGCTTATATGATATTTTAAAAGATGTTTCCAAACATCTCGAGTAACTCATAAGCGTTCTCCAAAACGAGATTTGAATGCGACTGAATGGAGGTTTCGGATATTTGAGCCACCTTGCGCCCCCTTTGAGGAATATCACTTGATGTTTCTTTACATGTACATCTCACCCAATAGAAAAATAATGCACTCCTCCAACCCCCTATCAGATAACTTCCTCTTCACGTAGCGGAAACATGGAGGTGAATGTGTCAACTGAGTCTATTGAGAGGTAAACAGCATTTCTGCAGCACTGAAGCGATCCTCATGTCTGCACGATACGTGATCAATTTCCTTGATTTCGCCAGCAAATATCTGTCTTTATCGCTGTTGTTATGATCACTTACCTGCATGACATGAAGCATGCTTGAACTTGACTGTATTAGAATGATCAGAATAGTCACATGCACTGTCTGTACTCATGATATAACATTATTACATTTCATTATCTAAAAATAAGAAAGCAAACAGAACTATTTCATTTTGTAATGACTTTAATTTATGTACTGTTCTTAAATCTTAAATGTCTTACCCTCAAGTTTATATCATGTTCTTTATTTAAAGTTTAAAGAAAAGTCTTTATTTCTCGTATCTTTTTCATTGACAATGTAATTTATATTCTGTATTGTAAACAAATATTGCTACAAACTTGTCAACTGTTTTTTTTTTTTGCAAAAATAAATAATAATAATAAAATAACATTATATTACAGTGTACTAAAGTCTGAAGATAAATTTAGGAAAAACCATGAAATCTTATTTTACAGGTAAGAACTGCTGTTATGTCTATTTAAAAAATAATAATACTAATTATTATAGTTATATTATGTTAATAATAATGGTAATAATTGGGAGTATTACTGTCTATTGTTCAGGAAATAATTATTCTTATTAAAATATATTGGGTCACATAATATTTAATTTGTCTGACCTTTGAACTGTACAACAACAGGCGACAGAGAGATAAAGCAGTGTCTCAATACTTTACCTCCTACGAAACTTTCGTCCTCACAGATGGAGGGGCCAGTCTGGAGCTCTGTGAGCGGGACTCTCAGGTGGAGACACAATTTAATTAATTACTAATGAATTTGCTTGGTAATGCTTAGAGTAGTGTTTTGACATAATATTTTTAACACGATAATTTTAATACATTTTCATTCTTCCCCTCACATCCTTTTTTTCTTCTTAATGCTGTGCCTTTTTATTTTTTTTCATACAAATAAGTTTCATATTCTGGAAAGTGGGTGTCTTAAAGACTCTTGAGCATTGAAAAGTCTGAGAACTGTAGGTCAAAACTGAAAACAACAACATAAATGTCAGAAAATAATTGATATATATTTATATATATATATATATATATATATATATATATATATATATATATATATATATATATATATATATATATATATATATATATTCAACTATTGTGGCATTTATATAAATAAATGGATATATATATATATATATATATATATATATATATATATATATATATATATATATATATATATATATACATGCAGTTTTAAAGTCAGAATTATTCGCCCCCCTTTGAATTTTAATTAATTTTTCAAATTAAAATTCCCAAACTATGTTTAGCAGAGCAAGTCAATTTTCACAGTATGTTTGATAATATTTTTTCTTCTGGAGAAAGTCTTGTTTGTTTTATTGCGACTAGAATAAAAGCAGTTTTAAATTTTGTTAAAGACCATTTTAAGGTCAATATTATTAGCCCCTTTAAGCTATATTTTATAACTTGCCTAATTACTATAACCTGCCTAGTTAACCTAGTTAAGCCTTTAAATGTCACTTTAAGCTGTAAAGAAGTGTCTTGAAAAATATCTAGTAAAGTATTATTTACTGTCATCATGACAAAGATAAAATAAATCAGTTATGAGTTATTAAAACTATAATGATTAGAAATCTGCTGAAAAAATCTCTGTTAAACAGAAATTGGGGAAAAAATAAACAGGCTAATAATTCAGGGGGCTACAAATTGTGACCTCAACTATATATATATATATATATATATATATATATATATATATATATATATATATATATATATATATATATATATATAATACAGTAAAAAGATGAAAAGTGATATTGTGGAAAAAAACATATAAATAAATAAATTTACAACATAAAAAAATATAGAAATATTAAGTTTAAACAATGAGTTCATATTAATTTTTTTAAATACTTGAAGGGATAGTTCACCCTAAAATAGAATATTGCATCAGAATTTACTCACCCATGTCACACACCTGTTTAAATTTCTTTCTTGTGTTTCTTCTGTAGAAGATATTTTGAAGAATGCTAAAAACCAGTAACCCTTGACTTCCATAGTATTTTTTTTCCTACTATGGATGTCAGTGGTTACTGATTTATAACATTCTTTAAAATATCTTCTTCCGTGTTCATCAGAAGAAAAAACTCATAAAGGTTTGGAGCTACATGAGGGTGACTAAAGGCCCTACCATACACTCGGCGAAATAAGGCGCAAGAACTGTTAGTGCTATGTGTTGCTATTTTCAGACAAGCGCAACCCTAATTTTCCTGCTTTGCACCACATTGTTTAAATAGTAAATCCATTTGTGCCACTTTGTGGACTCTTGAGTATGCTGGTCTAAAAAAAAGGTGTGTTAAGGCACATTCCTGGCACGTTGCTATTTTGAGGAACTAAAATGCGCAAGTGCATTAGTTATGCCCCTTAAACGTGTACACATTTCTTAATACACAAATGATGTACAACAATAAGCAGATATATTCATTCATTCATTTTTTTTGGCTTAGTCCCTTTATTAATGTGGAGTCGCCACAGTGGAATGAACTGCCAACTTATCCAGCATATGTTTTACACAGCGGATGCCCTTCCAGCTGCAACCCATCACTGGAAAACATCCATACACACTCATTTACACTCATTCACTATGGTCAATTTTAACATACCCAATTAACCTATACCACATGTCTTTGGACCTGGAGCATGGGGAGAACATGCAAACTCCACACAGAAATGCCAACTGACCCAGCCGAGGCTTTAACCAGCAACCTTCTTGCCGTGAGGTGACAGCGCAACCACTGCGCCACGGTTTCACCCCTATGCAGATATCTTTACAAATAAAAAAGAATTAAAGGATTAAAATCTTTAAAAAATATTACCACCACCTCCATGCCTTCATCTTGGTGGGCTTTTCAGTTTATTCAAGACATCTTGCTTTTATATAATGTTATTAGCAGTAAAATTGTTTATTATAGGCATATTTATATTTGTTTTATTAAAAACAAGCTAAGATTTGTCCAAATGTCAGGCTTTGGGCCATATGGGGTATATGACGTGTGTTTGGATATAACTCCACATTTCACACTTCGTTATTATTGTTAATTTATTTATTTGCTTGAAATTAGATCTGATTTTAAAAATATTTTTGAAACAGACTTGTGCTTGACAAATGAAATTAAATATGTAGGATAATGGATATCTTCAGTGGAGTGTGTACAACACCATTTCCTTATCCACGAAAGAGAGAAAGAGAAAGTAAAGAGGCAGATTGGAGGAGGCTCATTCTTTATTCTTGCGCTGCAGATGGTCTGTTTTATAGTTTTCTCGCTAGTGAAGTGTTTAGTTATTCCACTTACAAACTCCACCATGTAAATAGCAAAAGCGCCATGGCGCGACGCAACTGACTCTTAAAGGTAATGGGAGATGAGACTCTAATTGGTTTATTCTTGAAACACAGCAATAACTCATTAAGAGAATAAGCATAACCCATATTAGACCTGGCACAAAGTGTATTTTTCGTTCCTTAAAATAGCAAAAGTGGATTTGGACATGCCCTTAATGCTTTGCGCCCTGCGCTTTAGACTTTGCACCTAGCTCGTTAAAATAGAGCACTAAATAAGTTAATGTTTTTGGTGAACTATCCCTTTAAATGATCTCCATATTTGCAGTCGTTTGTGCATTTTCAGTGAATTCAAACTATTTGCGTTTCACAGGACCGACTGTCTCTTCAAATACGGGCAACTCAAAATGGTACCATCCGAGTGTCTATTGATGAGCTACAGCTGGTTAAACCACGCTACCAGGTTTCAGATGTTCTGGTTGGAGAGCTGAGATATGAGCCGTAAAGCATCAACTCTATTCTCCTCCACAGGATTTGCACTTCATTTATATTTCCAGATCTGCTGCTTCCAGTCATTCATTTTAAATTCTTTGACAGGCTGAGAGTTGAATGGAAGAAAGAGGACTGTGTATGTTTGACGTGGGGTCTGGGGCAGTACCAGCTGCTGGCTTTTTTTTCCCCATTCAAATTGGAGATTTCCTGTGCTGGCGAGGAGATTGTTACTCTCAACCCAGGAAATAAACTCTGTTTTGAAACTCTGCAAGATCCAGCTAGGTATAAGAAATTGTACTATTGTTTATATTGACTTAAAGGGATAGTTCAAAATGAAAATTCTGCCAACTTCTAATTATCCTCCACTTGTTCCAAACCTGTTTGAGTGACTTTTGTCTGATAACGCAAAGGAAGATATACTGAATATTTGTTTTTGGAAAAAAAGACAGCCGTTGATTTTCATAGTATTTTTTGTTCCTCAGAGTTCCCATGATTCTTTACAGTCCTTGAAAGTACTTGCATTTTAGACATGGATTCTAGGGCTGGAAAGTACTTTAAAACTAACTCAAGTCCTTGAAAGTGCTTGAATCAAAATTGACATTAAATTAGTTTATGATATTGTTTCAACAACTGTTTCAACAGAAAAAAGAAGAAATTCTCAATTTAAAAATCTTAAATTTAAATCTTGTACAAGGACTATGATAAATAATGCACATTTTGTCAATATTTCGGATACTACATTTGAATATTACTAGTATTTAATTCAACAAATTTGATTAAAGTTCTTTGAACGTGGCTGTTTATGATCTAATTTGTTTTGAAAATGATATTTATAAATATTTAAAACATAAATACACTGCAAAACAAATCTGTAATTTTACGGTTTATTTTCGGGAGCTGGAGTGCTGGAAAAAAAGTAAAATAACGGGCAATAAATTACAGAAATTTACCGTAAAATAACTGATATTAAATTACAGAAATTTACCAGAATTTTAAATGTAAAGAAATTTAGATAATTTATTATCCGTTAATTTACAGTAAATTTCTGTAATTTAACAACTGTTTTTTTTATGTTTTTTTTTTCGACACTCTAGCTGCCGAAAATAAACTGTAAAATTACAGATTTTTTTTTTTACATTGTATGCTTTTTTATTCACATTTTTATGTAAATATTAAGTGTAAGCAAAATGTTGGTGGTGTGAACTGCAAATGTGCTTGATTTGAAATTACACTGGAAAAAATCTTCATCATTCATCCAATAAAAAAAAAAGTAAGGTAATCTAACCCAATGAAAAATAAATAATTTACCTTAAACAATATTTTCTATCTTCATGAAAACAATTGTATATAAGCCGGTACAATGCATATTTGTCTTGTTGAAGAAAGTCAATTCATTTAAATTCTTTTTTTTTGTTTCAAACAAGAAGATTTAGTTTTGAACAAAACAAAAATTCCCATAAAATGTTTATTCATCCAATCTTAAAAAGTAGGGTAATGATTTCCCATCTAAATTTGATCACTCGAGGCAATGAAAAATAAATCATTAGCTTAAACAATAGTTTTAAGTCCATACAAGTACAAAGCAGAGTTTCTGTTTAATGAGCATATGCTGGCCTGTGTGAATAACTTTACAATTTTATATTGGTCAAAACAAATATCTCTCACTTCAGCTCTTAATCAAAAAACATGTTAACATATATTATTGAAAAGTATATTACTTGAAAAATAAAGCAAATAATATTAAGCTGAAATGAAAGATATTTTTTTAATTGAATGAAGTACTGCTCGAAAGATTTTTCAGTGTAAAGGGGTTTTAAAAAGTCCTAGAATCTGCTGTTCATGAAAGCCTTTCCTACACTGGATGTCAACGATTGGTGATTTCTAACTGTCTTCAGCATATCTTCCTCATAAATGTTTAAAACCGCTTGTGGCAGAAAGTGGTGAAGGCATTTTCATATTTGGCTGAACAATCTATTTGGGAATGGCTAAAGATATACATTTTTTCCATATAGCAGGTCATCTTCAAATTCATCTGAGGTAAGTTTATACAGCAAACTTTAATGTAAGGATGTAATATTGAGATTTGTTTTCTCATGTAACAAACTATATTCTTCTGTCTTAAAGGGAGATGAAAATTGCTGCGGGCTGTGGAAGGAAACATTCAGACAGTTTGAGGACATCAAGGCAAATGGTAATTAATTGCAACATACTGAATACTTAATCAGTTAATTATAAATAACTTTTGTATTTTATGTACAGTTGAAGTCAGAAATATTAGCCTCCTGAATTATTAGACCCCCAGTTTATTTTTTCCCCCAATTTCTGTTTAACAGAGAGATTTTTTCAACACATTTCTAAACATAAAAGTTTTAATAACTCATTTCTAATAACTGATTTATTTTATCTTTACCATGAAGACAGTAAATAATATTTGACTAGATATTTTTCAGGACACTTCTATACAGCTTAAAGTGACATTTAAAGGCCTAACTAGGTTAATTAGGTTAACTAGGCAGGTTAGGGTAATTAGGCAAGTTATTCTATTACGATGGTTTGTTCTGTAGACAATCGAAAAAAAATTTAGCTTAAAGGGGCTAATGATATTGACTATAAAATGTTTTTTAAAAAATAAAAAATTATTATATTATGTAAATGCAAACTTTTGTTTTGAATGTGATTAATCATTAGACAGTAGTACTTTTTAGATGTAAGTGAATAAAATAACTAGTTACACTTCATATAAGTTTTGCATATCATTTTATTTTAGGTGGCTCTTAAATGGTTTCTGTCATGCTTACATAAGTTCTGGTCTCTAACAAGTTTGCTTTTAGTTGGTTATTCGATGCTTTAATGACAGGGTGTGGTGTCATAACTGTGTGGTTACAGTTACTGTATGTCTGCTGGACTTTGGCCAGAGCTCATATTCCTATCATACAAGGAAAATCCCTATCATTGGTTGACAAAAATCATTTCAATATTAATTTTGTTTGATCTGGAATGTCATTATAGGACCAAAAAAAGGACTTTATATATATATATATATATATATATATATATATATATATATATATATATAGTAACTGTATATATGTGAATTGCTGTTTACTTTAAACTTATAAATATATATTTATATTGTTCAATTATAATGGTAAAATAATATATATTTTTTGTCAAATAATTTTGTGGCTCAAAGGTATCGGTTCAGGCACCGCTTTGGCACCGGTACCATTTTAAAAGTATCGATTAAGTATCGATAAGTATCGATTATCGGTATTGAAATAACCCCATTGCATTATGAACCTTGCAAAGTTCGAAAAGGTGACTTTTGTTTTATGTTTTTAATTGTTTAAAGTTATATATAGTTGGTGTTTTATATATGGTGCAAAAACCTTGAAATAAACTGTATTTTCTGTTACTTTACAGACTAAATTCTCTATGTATTATTTTGTAAAAGCGTTAAATTATTCTAAACTACTAAAATGTCAGAAAAAAGTCCCTTTGTTAAACTGTAGAACTGTCCACATTCAACATCAAAAGTCAACAGAGCAGAGATCAAGCTCCCATCTTGCAATTCAGAGCCATAAATAAATGCAAAACACTTGTGAATTACAAAATATGGAAGCCATTAATTAACAGATATATTTTTTACAGTGCTGTGTTAAGTGTTTTTTATTTTATTTTATTTTTTTTAACAGCTGCTTAATACAATCCATTAAACCAGTGGTCACCAAACTTGTTCCTGGAGGGCTGGTGTCATACAGATTTTAGCTCCAACCCTAATCAAACACACCTGAACAAGCTAAGGTCTTACTTGGTATACTTGAAACATCCAGGCAGGTGTGTTGAGGAAAGTTAGAGCTAAACCCTGCTGGGACACCGGCCCACCAGGACCAGGATTGGTGACCCCTTCATTAAACAGTTGTATATAGTATATAAATGCTTTCAGCTTAACCAATTCCAGAGGTTGTCAAATCCCATTTAATCATATTGCTTGCTGACCATCTTGCTAACACTCATGTGGTCCATTGCTCTAGGTCAACCACAAAAGACCAGCTGTTCTCCACTTACAGACCTGCGCATGATTGTTCTTTGACATGTTTTGAGAAAATAGACCATAACATGAAATTCACAATGTGCTGTATTTTACCAAAACACACAGATTATGATTGAAGTCATAGTTACTCACAACCTTTTTGCCTGAGTTACCACTATACTACCACTCATAACACCCATCCAACCACCCACTTTTTTTTTTTTTAAAGATTTATTTATTAGATTTTTTGACAGTTAACAAACAAAGTAAAAAGAGAAAATAACAGTACAAACAGAAAAAAATAAAATAAAAAAATTATATATATATATATATGTGTGTATATATATATATATATGTGTATATATATATATATATATATATATATATATATATATATATATATATATATATATATATATATATATATATATATAACAATACAACATTGATTAAAAAAAATAAATAAATAAACCATACTATAACCCTCATATTGTGCGACACACAGTATATGACATGCATAAACACTATATGATGTGCATAATTTTCAAATTGAGCATATAAACAGGTCTGTACCAGACGTTGAGGTTGACAGCATGGTGTATTAAGTAAAATAAACAGTAATAATAAAATAAAATAAAATAAATAAATGGAAAAAAAAAATAGAAAAGAAATAAAAAAAAGCGAGAGAAAGGGGAATATGTAATAAACTAAATAGGCTGGGGGGTGGCAACCATTCACTCCACAGTAATTGCCTCAAGTCTCAGAGATTTGACATGTTCCAAAAATGGCAACCAAATATTAGAAAATTTGACCACTGAACCTCGAAGACTATGTTTAATTTTTTCTAATTTAACAAAAAATGAGGCATCTTTAATCCACTGAGTATGGGATGGGGGTTGAGGAGACTTCCACTGCAACAAAATGCACCGCCTAGCTAATAATGACAGAAAAGCTATTAATTCAGAAAAATAAAATAGCAACTCACAGTCAGGGGGGGAACTCCAAACAGGCAAATTAACGGAGAAGGATCAATATTAATAGATGTAATTGCTGAAAATGAATCAACAACCACCCACTTTTTACATATTTAAATGACACCTTTGGTGAAAAATCTACTTTTCAAGCTGTTTGGACAGACATATGTGTTTATATAATATATAGACCATCATATTGGGATGATATAAACACACCCAGTCCTTTTTTTTTCGATTTAACAACATAAAAACGGTGGAACAATTGGAGCGTTTTTCAGATTGACCACCACTTGACGTAGGAGTGCGGTCCCCCGCCCACCGAATTGATTGACAGCTGCGTAACGTGTCCTGGTAGTCACGTGTATAATCATATAAACAAGACAGGACATGCGCGACCGGGAATAAAAGGTCTGTTCAGTTTGCTAGGATGATCAATCGTCATCAGATGTGATCAAAAAGAGTGAGTTTTACAAGTTTAAAATGTTTCAACAGTGCATGTGTGTAATGAATTACAGCGATTTACGTCAGCTTTACTTCATCAGCACAGCTGCGTGTCAGAACAATTATGAAAGAAGACGCTTCAATCGCGGTTTGTGGAGGTTAAATCAGGTTTATTTTGTACATTAACCTAACAGATATCCATACAGCAGTGGAGGTTAGCCTGTATCCTGTCACATTTGCATGCAAAAAAAATGCAAAGCTAAACGCGCTGTCTGTATGTATCTGCGTATCGTGTCCGTGCTGGGTATGCGCGTCTGTGTGTGTGCGCGTGAACTTTGTAACGATAGTGTGTGTGACTCATTGTTGTATCTTAACACAACAAATGCATCAAATACTCATTGGTAAAGTTCTTACTGTACTGTAGGGAGGTGTGATGGCCAGTGTGGTGGCCACACATTGAGAGTGAGGCATGCACGCACACATACACACACACACACACACACACACACACACACACACACACACGTTATACTTATTCATTTAAGATTATTTATTGGTCACAGTTCAGTTATTGTGTTTATACATTTTCGTTTCATTCATATCTGATTTAAATAAGACTCATACACTTTCAGTTTCTCATTACCTTTCTTTATTATTCACAGTACATTTATTACTATTTTGGGTGCACACAAAATCAGTTATCTGTACTGTATGTTTTGTTAATTTAGTTTTCTTTTGAGTTTAAGTTACCGTGCTGCAGTGCCGACGAGGAACAGAGTTTCCGGGTGTGGTCCGCCCAACTAAAGGTCCGACGTGCCGCAAGATGCCGTCTTTTGGTTCCGCCTGCCGATACCATTGGCTTAATGGCTTGGAGGGAGAGCTCATGTTTAGTTTAGGTTCAATAATGATTTGCAATGTTTGTTTATTCAGATTTATATTTAGTTTTGCCTTATTTATAGTTTATTTAACTTTATATTTAGATTTGTATTTAGATGTTTGGCTTAGTTTATTGTATTTGTAAATTGTATGTTTTTGTCTCCCCCTTCTTGTTTAATGTGGACTAGTCCCTGTGCTATAAATGTGGTCTGTCTTGTCGTTTCATGGAGTTCTGTTTTTGGTTTAGACATGATTTGTTTGGTTTGAACTCAGTTTGTTTTCCTTGTTTAATTTATTGTTCTTTCAATTGATTTAATTATTTAATTAATTTATTTTTGAACTTTTTGTGATCCTTTTTGACTTTATTAAAAATAATTATTTTTGAAAATCTTCTTTTTTTGAATGCCCCTTACTGTACGTGCTGGCTCGGTCCCTCACAAGTGGTGTCAGAAGTGGGATTTTGCCAGTAGGGGGCAGAGTTTTTTTTTCCTTGGTGAACTTTCTGGGCCATGAACCGAGGAGGACGAAGAGGAGCCCCAAAGGCTGTTTCAGTGGAGCAACTGGATGAAGTTGCACAAGAGCTGGGGGATGAAGAATTACAGGAGGTGAGAGAATTTGATGTGGAGACTGAATGCACTGAACCAACAATAGCTGACTTGACAGGCTTGTTGAGAGCTCACATGGCAAAAATGGAGGCTCAGGAAGCACAAAGGATTGCAGAGCTGGCCCAGCAGGAACGCCGATTCAAAGCTCTCCATCATCAGTTTGGCCTGTTGCAGCTGGAGGTGCAGGCTCGCACCACTCCTGTTCCAAATACTTTGGTAACATCTCAAGATGATTTGGATCACCCAGATGAGGGTGCTGGTC